ATGGATGGCTGAGCAGAATGGGGCTAATTATTTCACTCCACTTGTGGGTCCTGAAGGTTTTTGTTGGGTCAGAAGTACAGCCAAGACGCAGTGCTGAAGATTGCATTTGGCTTAATTGTGCAGTTGTGTTTTACACAATAGTTAATGGTGGGATTCTGGAGAAGGCATGAGGCAGTTTCTGTGAAGGAGGCCTGACTGCAGGAGGCATGGGTAAAATATAATTTTGGATGACTTAAGCAGAAAACATTCGACTTACCGGCATGTATACCGGCAGGTCAGCCATGTGTGCGTTTGTATGTGTGTGGGTCAAATCAAAGTTGCATATACGCAGATCAGCTGGGTGAGGTGAAACTTTTGAATCCCTGAGTAATTGATGTGAAACTATGCCAGCCCAAACAATAGCTGCCCTGATTCCTTGCAAAGAAATACTCACCAAAACTGTTACGGTGAAACAAGTTTGAACAGAGCACACATTGTGACACACCCCAAGATTCGCTTGGCCTGGCACCTCGCCTGTCAACTACTGATCTTGCTCGACAGGCTGGCCTTTAGATAACACCATGCCAATTGTAACACTGAACTTCCCGGGCTGCAACATTTCGCTGCCACACTGCTCGCACCATACGCCACCTCCGTACACTAGGTAACCAAACGCCACTGGCACCCCTTTTCCTACACGGATCCTAATTCAACCTTTTTTTAATGGCTAAACCACACTCAGTTAAGGCCCTTGCCACACTGGCTATGCGCATTTAACAATGAGGTTTGGGCTGGTACAATCAGCCCTTTGTGTCACACAAGGACTGATCCATGGGGAGATTTTCTTGTGGTTATGGTTCTAATACAGCACAGTTTACCGCAAAGACCAGGAAGCATAGAATTACATTACAAAACACACACACACACACACACACACACACTTGGTATGACTCAATAAAGCAGCGTGTTGAGCTCGTGTAAAATGTCTCACCCACTTCCAACTCAACTGAAATGATACTCTAAAAATGTATTTAATAATATGTTAAGGTTCACGCCCACCTCCCAGCTTGGCACCAATAACAGTCTTGGCTTTGACTTGAGTGACAGGTTCTGTGGTTGGCAGGTTTTTCTCTGCAACAACTGCAGTGCAACCGACTGTGAAATTATAGGCCTAGAATCAAAACAAAATGAGGATTGTTATATCACTGCCAATTATGAAGCATTGTCTAATGGTTCGTTTACCTTAAGAAAAGATAATGTGACAGCTGATATCACAAATCACATATGGCCTTTAATTTGACATTTTGAACCACTTGAGGCCTGTGCAGGTATGATTGGGTGTCACATAAACTTACAAGCATTTTTGGCAGGTGAGCCCCGTAATAAAGTTATGTAACAATGATATTTAAACCACAGGAAAATATGTGTTCACATCCTACTGATGTGAATGTCAGTGTGCTGACAATGTGTCACTCATCTGGGGGACAGGTGGGACAAGTTGGTCCTGTAAAGTTGGTGGATTACAATAAATGAGAAGAGGCAGACTTGAAGACGCTCTGTATAATATTACTGTATGCGAGACACTTTTGCGTAATGATGATGGCATTGAACATACCCTCCAGTCTGAGTTTTCAGGACAATACTAGATGCTAGAACACCTCTGCTAAAACAAAAACACATATGAGGAATTTGTTTTACCATAATCAGTCAATATAATGGATAAACAGCAGCAAAACATGCTCATGACAGGAGTTTTAATTAACGTAAATTGTATTAACAACTGCACATATTATGTTCTTTTACTGATGATTCGTCATGTGTTTATCTTTTTTATGTTTTGATGTTTTTAGTATTGTCTTTATTTGTGAGACATTTCAGAACTAATGTTTCCGTCCAAATAAACAGTCTCATTTTATGTCTATGTCTAATACAGGAGGTCCTGACCTGAAACCTGCCAGAGGACTATTGAATTGTAGTTTTTGTATAATAGTATTAAGAAGACTGCTTGGTCAACTGTGTTTGCAGAGTTACATTATTGGTGGAATGGGAATATTGTGTTTCTAATAAAGAAATGCTGTTTTCTTACCTTTTAAAGTGATGTATTTATACGTTACTACAAAAAACTTCCTATCATCAACTAACAACAAAATATTTTAACAAGTCCTTCTTCAACCAAAAAGCTCAACACATCAACCCTGTGAGCTATATGTCTAATTAGAAAAAGAACACATGAAATTGTGTTTTTGTGCCAAATTTTGGCACCTTTTCTGTAATCTCTTGGGTTGATAATGAAGATGAATTATAATGTAGGTCACGATTTTAGGCCATTATAAGTAGAATTTAAGACCATTATAATTCAAAAGCGTTGAACTGCAACATGCTAGAGAGGCTGTTTAATGTCAAATAATCATTTGCTATCATCATCATACAAAAGGCAAAGTAAAATATTTATCTCTCCAAAGGATACAGGATTTAAAAAAGATAAGAGACATCATTATCAACCAACCAGAGATTCTTCCTTTTGATTTTGTGATCAACATGAAATGCTACCTCGGTGCCCGTATTCACACTGCTTTCCTTTACAGGCACTCTCAGCACTTGTTCGGGGGGCACAAAGACGATCTGTTTGTCACCTCACCTCCCCACCCCCTTGTAGTCGCTGTAAAGTGTCATCAACTACGCAAATGAAGTGCCCATTGATAAAAAAAAAAACACCAGCTGCCTCAGATAGAAAAAGACACAGTCCGGGTGCAAGGTGGAGAACGGTGCAGGCACCCCTGCGCCACACGGGCTTACAAAATGCTTGCAGAATATCATCACCATCACCCTCATCATCATCCTCATCATCATTAAAAGGGTGATGAATACCACCCACATGCTGTCTCTATATGCTGGCCTTTTAGATCTCCTCAGACTGCGGTCCCGTGTGTGTTTTTATGCTGTTTGATCTGAGCAGCGGAGGAAGATCAGCCTCCACTTTGTCAATCGGTGTCTACAAACGCCTCTGCAAACAATTCAGCCTGCACACTGTTAACCCACCAGTTGGGATAAATCAATTTAAATTAGGAAACAGATTTTTTTTTTCATATTGTATATTAGAGGCATAATTACCACAGCCTTGTTGTGTCTTTGGGGAAGGTTTAAGGAAATAACGTGCCTAGGGTTGCAGATGGCAAAAATAATGCGAGATATTTAGATGGTAAAAAAGGTAAATCTGCATTACATACATAGTTTGTGTGCAAGTGATATGAAACAATTAGCATGTTAAATTGTTTTTTTTTTTACTTTG